CTCTCTCTCTCCCTGTACCTTTCTGCAGGTTGCCCTGGCCCTGGAGCTCTATGTCTCTGACGAGCAGTCACCGGCCACATCGACCTGATCAGTGTTTGATTGTTGTGTCTTGTTGCTTTTCTTCTTTTGTCTCTCCTCTATCCACTCACCCCAACCGGTCGAGGCAGAAGGCCGCCCACCAAGAGCCGGGGTCTGTCGGAGGTTTCTTCCGTTAAAGGGAGTTTTTCCTCCCCACTGTCGCCAAGTGCTTGCTCAAGGGGGATTTGTTGGGTTTTCCCTATGTAATAATATTGATAACAGTAAGGTCTAGACCTTACTTTGTAAAGTGTCCTGAGATGACTTTTGTTGTGATTTGGCACTATACAAATACAATTTGATTTGATTTGATTTACTTTTGGCACTTTAAATAAACTTTGATGTTAATACTTTTGTACTTTCATCTTGGTAACATTTTGAATTCTTGCTTTTATTTGTAACAAAGTATTTTTACACTGTTGTATTACTACTTTTACTCTCAGTAATGATTAACCGACTGACAACACTGATATTTCCAGTGATAGTAAACAGTCGTGCAGTGTATTATTTTCACCTGTGAGAAGCTGAGGCTTGTGGCGCGACTGTATCTGTGCGAGATGCTGGATTTGTCTTTTGTTTTATTGTTATTACTACATTGTTCTTGTTCTGCTTTTATGTTTATAGACTTGACTAATAAAGCTGATTCTGATCTAAACATTTTCCTGGATTCCCGCTGTTGAGCTGGTTGCGCACAACAAACAACAATTAAAACAAATACTAGAACATTTTTGTGGTTGTCTAAAGGCTTCTTATAAATGCTAAGTAGGGAGGTGGTGTTAGCGCAGTAATAATGTTAAAAAGCATGCTAACAGTTGCTAATTAGCGTGTATTATTTTTGCCAGTATTTGGTCATCAAGTGAAACTTTCAGCCGGTGACGGTGCAGGTGAAAAGTCAGATGATCACCAAAGTTATTACAACTCATCTGGAAGGAAACATGAATGTTTGAGGCAGGCTGACCACTATCCAAAGGGAAGTTGTTCAGATATTTCACTCAACACCACAAACATCAGCATCAGTGTGGCACTAGAGCAAAGGTCAGAGGATGGCGACAGTCAGTGGGAGGGGGAGTATCAAACGCTGTCACATTGTTCGCATGGAGAAAACAAATATGGAAGAACATGGTTACAATGTTTGAAGTTACAGACCTTCTGGTAACAGCACGTCTGAAGAACTGTTAGTGACGTACAGTGTTTAAGCCCCGGCTTCCTCCAGGCTGACTGACCTGTTCAACACAAACCTGACATTAGTCTTGATCTCTGCTGACAAACCGAGCAGCTGCTCGAGAG